CCTGTTCTGCATGAGCTTAGAAAATTTCTCACATAAAGATTTATTAGTACTTCCAAAAATAATATCGTCAACATAAATTTGTACCAATAAAATGTGATCATTTTCTTGAATTCTAAAGAGCTTTGTTCCTATAGACCCATTTAGTGTCAATTACATTTTGGTGTGTATGTCTTGGAACAAGTTCCCAGACATCATTCAGTTTGAGTTGATCTAATTCTTTTTGCATAGCATCTATCCAACTTGGATCGGCTAACGCTTCGTCAATCTCCTTTGGTTCCAGTTGAGATAGAAAACGCGAGAACATAGCATCTCTCATTGAAGATCTTGTCTTTACTCCTTCTCTCAGATCTCCGATCACTAGCTCAGGTGGATGATTTTTGAGCTACCTTAGATCAGTTTGGAAACTCATTGGATTCTCAGAGTTTCTTGCTTGTTGTGAATCGTTGACGGTTTCTCCTTCGGGTGCTTCGTCGGGTACTATTTCCGTTGTTACTTCGGTTGTATCTTCTGTTACTATTGCGGGTGTTATTCCGGATGATTTGTCACCAACTTGATTTATACACATGTTGTATGATTCTGACTCATCTAAATCATGCAACACATTTTCTTCGAAAACTTTGTTAGAATTATTTAAATCAAGGTTACTACCTTTTTCTTTGACTTCTTTGTTGTGGTTTTCGTTGAACACAACGTGAATTGATTCTTCTACCACCATTGTTGACTTGTTGATTATTTTGTACGCCTTGATCGTGGATGAATATCTCAAAAATATTCCTCGTCTGCTCGCCCGTCAAAAGTTAATGGAAGTAAGACTTTCCATTAACAAGTACAAAATATTTACAACCAAAAGTATGAAATTAGGTGAGGTTTGGTTTCCTCCATTTCCATAACTCATATGGTGTTTTGTTATAGGACTTGTGGATTAGATTGCGATTTTGAGTATAACATGTCGTAATAATTGCTTCGGCTCAAAATTGTTTTGGTAGCTCGGCTGCTGATATTATGACTTGTGCAACTTCCTTGAGTATCCTATTTCTTCTTTCAGCTACGCCATTTTGTCGCGTTGTTCTTGCGGTAGAAAATTGGTGTAGAATCCATTGTGAATTGAAATATGACTGAATCACATTATTCACGAATTTTTTTCCTCGATCGGTTCGAATTGTTGCAATCTTCATTTCTTTTTCGACTTGGAGTTACTTTAGTAGCTCGGGCAATTTTGATTCAACTTCATTCTTCTTCTTGATGAATATTGTCCATGTGTACTAGGAAAAAACATCAACAACAACTAAATTATATTTCTTACCACTTAAACTTACTGGGTCTACTGGACCGAATAAATCCATGTGCAGTAGACTAAGAGGTCTTCATGTTGACTCTTGAGCTTTGGATTTGAATGAAGCTTTGATTTGTTTTTCCCTTCTGGCATGCATCGCAAATTTGATCTTTCTTAAACACAATGTTGAGTAGACCTTCAACAAGTTTATTCCTTGCAAGCTTGTTGATTGTTTTGAAATTCAAATGGTTTAGCCTTCTGTGTCATTGCCAACTTGTCTCATTTGGATTGCTTGTCATCAAACATACTGACTTCTTTGTGGTACTCCAATCTACAACGTACATGTTCTTCTTTCTTGTTTCGGTGAGTACGACTTCCCTCATAGATTCGTCTTTGACTTGAAATTTATATTTGAAAAATTCTACGAGATACCCTTTGTCACAGAATTGGCTTGTGCTGAATTGGTTAAACTTTAGTCCTTCAACATAAGATATATTTTAAATTCGTAAGCCATTCTTCACAATTGTTCATGTTCCTTTTGTTGCTCCATATCGGTCGTTTCCAACAAAAATTACTTTTGGTCCTTCGATGCTTTTAAACTCAACTAGACTAGCTTTATTGCCGGTCATATGTCGAGAGCATCCGCTATTGAAATACCAAATTTCATGCAATAGAATTTAATTATATTACTCTTAGGTACCCAGATTTGTTTGGGTCCTATTTTGTTAGTAATCTTAGACATCCAAATCCACCTAGATCCCATTAACCCAAAAATAGGTGATTAGTAACCAATGAATACTTTGTAATCATAATAAACTTGCGAATAATATTTCGGTGCAGGTTTTTGAAAATTATTTTGCACCTGGGAAGCAGATAGTTAACTGGTCCTATGAAAGAGAGCAAATCTGAACTAGGTCCATGGTTTGTCTTCAAATAACCAATCTTGTTCAGAGGGATATAATCTCCTAGCCCCAATCCTTGGAATTCTTCATGTATTCCTATGAAGTCTTGATGCACTAGACTCGTTGGTTTTCTTTTGAGACACAAATTTTTGCCTTTTAAAATTTTGTTGCCTTACTGAGATATTCTTATTTGGATTCGCCATCGCAACTGATTTTCGGGCATTAATTTGATTACCAACTCCTTGTCTCACTGTGTTATTCTGACTTTTCACAAATTTTACTATTGGAACTTTATTATTTAAAGTAGTAGTAGAATTAGTCCATTTTTTCGGTGTTTGAGAACATGATGGACCGTAGCCCAGTCTGGCTTTATCTCCTGCGGGTTTCTGCATACTTACCATTTTATCCATTATTTTGGATGAATGCGTAAATGATGCTATTACTTCCCTTATGTTATGTTCTCTAACCTCTCTAGCTTTGCACTCTTCTTGAAGTCGAACATTTTCGGCTTTCAAGTTACTCATTTCATTTAGAACATTTTGTAATTTTTGCGCTATTTCTTCCTTTTCAAGGATTAACGTATTATTGCGCTCTTTGATATGAGAATGAGTGACCATGATTTCTTGACAATCTTTCATAAGACTTAGAAATGATTCTTTAGTCATGAAAGAAGAGTCAACGAAATCAAAAGAACTAGAAGATACCTCTTCGTCGGTTTCGTGCGCCATTAAGCATTCTTCGTGTTTGATTGTTTTGCTTACTAGGCATAGTAATGTCGTATCTTCTTGTGATGCGTCACTCTTATCACTAGATGATTCTTCGGATTCGCTTGTCTCTAATGGATCACTTATTAGTGCCTTCCGCTTGTCCTTCTTGAATCGTTTCTCATTCGACTTGTATTCTTCCTGCGAAGGGTTAGATGTATTCGAATTTTTGCTTACCTTTGGGTGTGGACATTCTGCCATAAAATGTCTTGGCTTTCTATAGTTGTAACACACGTTTGTGTTATCTTCAACAGGTTCTTTTCTAGGTTTTCTAACTTCTCTGGATGAGCTTCCTTGAGATGACCTCTTGACATTGTTCTTTCGCATGAACTTTTTGAATTTCCTGACAAATAATGCAAATTGTTCGTCAGATAAAAAATCACTATCTCCTACTGGCCTTGAGATGGTTGATTGGCCATTAAAGCAGATGTTCATTCATCTTCGATTTTTGACTTCATCTCGAACTCGTAGGCTTTGGGATCGCTAAAGAGTTTATCCGTAGATAACGCCATTAGATCTCTATGATCTCGCATTGCAATCACCTTCATGTCCTAGCTAGAAGGTAGTCCACGTAATACTTTGAGAGATATTTCCTTCTGTGTGATGATTTTACCCAAATCATTGATCTCTACTAAGATCTTGATTAAACGGGCTTCCATATTGGTAATACTTTTGTTAGAAAGCCTTTTGAAATCTTCGAATTTTTTCATGACGATAGTTAGCTTGTTGTTTTTTTCTTGTTTGTTGCCTTCTCCGATACTGATGAGTGTATCTCATATCTCTTTTGCGGTAATGCACTTTCTAATCTTTGGGAATATGGTATCATCTACTCTTAAAAAAACCCGAGTTTAAAATGACCACGAGACGTCCTAAAAGGACCACAAATGGTTATTTTTTAAAACATGAAGATCATTGGGGGTCATTTAAAACTTGAATGACCATAATTGATAAATCACTAATACTTGGAGGACCATTGGATGTATTTACTTTATAAACCTATAAGTGGGAGAAACAACACACCTACTCCAGGACGAAGTGGCAATGCCAACAATTCAATCAATGGGAGGAAATTAAAACCCTTGAAATTGAATGTCAGCTTTTATGTAGAACTGCTATGGATTGTGATTTGGCCATATGTTGCCTATTTTGAATTAGCATTGTAATAATTTTAGCTTGGCAATGATTTGTGCCTAGTGCTTAAATAATTTTTTGTATGGTACATGTGATGTTGAATGATTTTGTATAATGATTTGTGCTTAAAATCTATTGCCTATTTTGAATTCGCAATGTACATTATGTGATGGTGAAATATTTTCGAAGCAGTCGATTCCAAGCTGATGTGGTTTTCTTTCCATACTAATATACACAAAATTCTAACAAAAATATTGTCAAAATATAACCAAAAACAGTGTTAAGGGTAACAAACAGAAATTGCATTCAAATGGCATTACAACAAAAATTTCCATTACAACACATCATAGAAAGTCATATACAGAAACCCTTCATTACAACATAATCTTAACCAAAAGGGACACAATTACAACCAAGATCAATACACACTTTCGATTAAAATTTTTCTTCTCCTTAACTTTCTTTTCCAGCACTACACTTTTAATTAATACCCATAGAACATGCATTTCACTGATCAATTCACTTCTCATTGTTATAATTAATTTCTTCAATTCCTCCATTCCAGATGCATCATTCTTATTTTATGAAATTTGTTCTTTCCAAAAAAAAAAAAAAAAAAACCACACCTACAACCCTCCTAAAACAATTTCAAACACATTTACTAATGGATCATTCCAAAATTTACAACAATGTAAAAAGATATACATAATCGCACCTTCCATCTTTGATATATATCCATAAAATTTCCTCCCAAAATCTTGAGTTGTACACATTAAGACTTTCAATCCACAACAACAATACATTAGAGACTCACTCCAAGTTGTTTCGCACTTTTGATTAAGTTGAAGACAAAAGACATTTCACACCGAGAAGATGAATATAGACGTCGACAAGGAAAGTATATATGCAAAAGGATGTTTTGAGAAGACGAAGATGAAGAAAGAACTTATATGCGTTCTTTGTAAGGTTTGCTTGGTGTTAAAGGTCAACATTAATAAATTTCATATCAACAAATTCATCTTTAATTAAATTCCATGTTAACTATGCAGAATGGCTACCATGGAAAAACTTGGAAAAGATGCTAAGTGAAGAAATTTAGAGAGTTAATGTCTCAGATTAAATCATATTTTAGAACAAAGTGTTAATTGAACAATCGTGAATAAATGGGTGTATTTGACCCTTCTGCTTAAGGTGTTAGACTTGCTTTGAGATTGATAGTTTTAGGGATTTCTTTGTGATTTTGTTCTTTCAAAAGGTTGAACCCCAACCCTAAGGGCTCTCCACACCCCGACCCAACAGAGCATTTGGGAGGATGTAAATCATGGTAACTCAACTAAACATGAACCACAGAGGCTAGACCTTTGCTTTCTGCGCACAAGGAGCCCCCCTCACTTTGAGAGGTTGCTCCCACACTGCCGCTAGTAAGACTCAATCCCTGATCATTCTTCCAACTTTTCACCTCTATGACCAGTTGAACTGCCCATGCAGGTTTTCTTTGTGATTTTGTGCTACTTTGGGTTGTGGGTCACATTTGAGTACTCGGATAATAAAGAAAAGCATAATCAACGTAGACTTTCTTTGCTATCTCCTTAACTAAAGGCAAAGTGTAAGTTGTACAATCCTTCCATCTCAAGACTCAAGAGAGTACCTAATCTATAAAGCAACCAACACCGTTTTGCTGCTTCACAACAATACAATGGGAATTATTCAAGGCTGCTACTGGACAAAGCATCACCTTTTGGCATTTAACTTTTCTAATAGGATTTTGTTCAACATCTTTGGATTTGCCTTGCCTTTGGATTCCTTCATCACCTTTTCATTTTCATACAAATTTAGAAAAGCATTAACTTTATTACAGCCTTGCAGGATTGAGAGATGAAAAATTAAAGCAACTACGAAATAACCATACCTGACCAGCAAAATAGCCTTGCAGTTTAGTTTTACCCCCACGGTATTGCTCTAGTTGCTTTGGATTGCCAGCAATCACTTTATCTACCATTTTCTCGATCTCTTGAGGATCTACAATCTGATGTTTTGAAAATAAAAGAGAATTATGCATCATTCTTTTTCGCCTCATAGTTGTTGGGATATGCTTGGTTTTTAGAATTGACTAAAATCGTCTCTCATTAAAAATGTTCCAAACACATCTCGACATATCTGGTGCTAGAAAGAGACTAACTAGAAAAAAATTAGACATGAGCTAATATCATTGGACATGCAAATTCATAAGATCTAACGACCCTTATGAACCATTTCATGATTGATTACTCAACCCATCTAAAGTCATTAAATTTAAAAAAAAAAAAAAAAAGTTTTAAACTTTTAATGACCAGATAGCAAAGACAAATGGTCACAAGCTTCAGAACATTAGATATGAGATAACTTGCCTGAACCAAATCCTTTTCTTTTATCATCCCCTTGACAGTTCCACCCTTGGCCATTATCTCAAACAATATCTGCAGATGTTACGTTGGAATCAATGAACAAACAAAACTTTAACCAAGCTTGGAAACTTTGGTATATATTTCTTCTAAGTGGAATTAGTATATGGTATTATGGAATTGATGAAGTAGGAAGATAGGATAATAGGACTTGATCCAATGGTGGGCAAAACAGAGTATCATAAAATACCTCACTCTAGATGGATGATTAATAACTACTTGCGGAATAAAGAATAATATTCCAACTAAACCTTCAAAATATTTCATGGTTAAGGCTATCAACCAAAAAATAAATAAATAAATCTCTAAGATTAATAAGATTTGGGGCAAGTTAGAGAATGTTAGAGCACATGCCAACTATATATGTACCTCTTTCCCAATCTTTCCACTGATAGTCTCCTCTTTGATTGCAGAAATGAGCTCACTGAGTTCTTGAGGAGTAAGTTTAATCTCATTGATGGATAACTTTTCATTTTTCAAATATGCAGCTATGTCACCCATCATCCAATTAGTAGCAAGTTTTACATCTGCACCTCTAGCAATTGTTGCATCGAAAAACTCTGCAATCTGAAACATTTGTTTATTGAAAGATAATGCTACTACAGAGTATCGAAACATCACATTAATTTTTTTAAGAGTACTAGAAGAATCTAAAGGAAATATATATAGTTTATTTCTTTCTTTCATGCTTGTTGGTGAGTGGAAAGACTGGGTTGGAGAGAGGCATGCCAATCTATAAAGCATTAAATGTTTATTTAACTAATATGATCCCGACATCCCGTACCAAACAAGCACTACTTCGAGCAAGTGTTAGCACTAATAAAGAATTGGGGAGGAGAATATAGTGATAGAATTTTAGGAAAAGTATAAAAAGACTATATTGTTCTTCTGGTTCACTGCTTCCACAATACATGGGGGCCTATTATTTATAACATTGTATTCTTAAAGTCTATTTCCAATGTTCTACTAACTCTAATAATATAATAATTCATATTTTAATGTTTCTCTAATTCTAATAATATAATAACTCCTATTATAATGTTCATCTAATTCTAATAATACAATAATTCATATTTTAATGTTTCTCTAATTCTAATAATATAATAACTCCTATTATAATGTTCATAAATAACTATTCCTATTCCGTGGGAGTATCATTAACAGTAAACACAACAAAATTTTGATTCAGATAATTTTATGCCACTCTTCTATAGAACTTCTAGTTAGTAGTTACCATGCAAACTAGCATAAAAGGTCAAGTTAATGTATAGCATTATGCCAATATAAAGACCAAGAATCTAAGCAGTCATGAACAGTACTTACATTAGAGTCGTTAGTCAGAAAAAGAACATCTTGCATGCTTAATCCCATTTTTTCGTACCTCCGCCGTTTCATCTCTGGAAGTTCAGGCAATGAATTGCAAACACTGTCAACATAATCTTGAGTGATAGTAACTCCTGGAAGATCAGGCTCTGGGAAATAACGGTAGTCAGCAAGCCCTTCCTTTTTTCTCATGGTAATTGTCTTCTGAAAGTACGAAAAGCATTACCAAATAAGCAAACCGTAACATATTAATTTCATGTTGTGGCAGGACAAAAGTTAACCACTGTATAACCTGAGAACCTTCTTCCCAGAGACGAGTTTCTTGTACAATTTCATCATTCTGGCCTTGGCTATGAAGAAGCACCTGTCTTGAAATCTCAAAATCAATAGCCCTACTTACCGATGAGAATGAGTTCAAATTCTTAATTTCCACCTGTCCAAGGAATTCCAAGTAACATTATCAATCACCAAAACAAAGTAGCATTCTATCAATTTAAACATCAAGTAAATATATTTATAAGTTAAATCAATAAATCATGAAACATGAGAAATGAATAATATTAAATAAGGATTTAAAGTAAATTACAGAAATACTAGAACTGTGGAAAAATATATTACTAAACAAAAGAAATAGTTTACCTTTGTACCAAATTCTAATTGTCCAATTGGACGAACAGAGATATTGACATCACAACGAAGTGACCCTTCTTGCATATTTCCATTACTCACTCCCAAATATCTTACCAATCGTTGCAACTCTGCAGCATACTCTGAGGCTTCAATTCCAGTTCTCATATCAGGTTCAGAGACAATTTCAAGTAATGGTACCCCTGCTCTATTCAAGTCAACCTGTTATAAAACTTAAAAAAAAAAAAAAAAAAAAAAAAAGATTAGATCCTGCTCCTATAGAATTCGCAATAAAATAAATGAACTACAATACTAGTTGGTTGCTAGGTGAGATATCGGCAAAAAGTTACTAGTGTACTTAGTGACATGAAAGTAAACGTTACACACTGAAATGTTCATAATATGATCGAGTTGCAAAAGAAAGTGATTTTCACAATTAGTTTAAACTTCAACAAACAGAAAACTCAACAAATCTAGTCAAATGCTTTAGTCATAATCTCAAATAGGAAAAAAAAAATTATGAAATACAAGATTTGTAGATGTAGAGAAGAGATGTAATACTTTCCTGAGAATAACTCCCACCATCAGTATGAAGCAGCTTGCCGGCATCTTCTTCCATGTGAACCCTTGTAATGCCAAATCTCCTATGTCCCCCACCAAACTCAACCGGCAGATCTAGATCAAGATAACCCCCACTTGCAATAGGTATATCAAACTGTGATATTTGGTATCCCTTTGGAAGATCCGGATAAAAGTACTGCTTCCTATCAAACTTTGAGCTCAGAGAAAGCTTACAGTTGAGTGCAAGACCAACTTTAATGGCAGATTCTATAACCTTTGAGTTTAAAACTGGCAATGCCCCAGGCAAACCCATGCAAATGGGGCAAATGTATGTATTTGGGGGAGCCCCGTAAGTATACGGGCAGCCACAAAAAGCCTTTGTAAGAGTTGAAAGCTGCACGTGGGTTTCTATACCAATGATTGATTCATAATCTTTCAAAATGTTATCAAGTGGTTTTGATTGATTTTTTGGCAACCCTTTCAACTTGGTCTGTTGCTTTTCTTGTGTTGTAGTATTGGTTTCTGTTCTTTCCAAAGTACAATACAAAGTGGCATGTTTTCTAGAAAAATATGGAAATTTGTATTGCCTAAGAGGATAGAATTGTATCCCCCTAAAGAGTGTCACAGACATGTTATAGATCCTTCACTCTAACTTCAAAATCAAGAACAATGAGAATTGCGCCTGCAAATCATCATGCACATTACAAAATAGTGTTAAAAAATCTCAATTAATAAACATAAAATGTTTTCAAACACATAGAAACTTTGATTATAAATGTAAAATCATTAACCAACTAGAATTCAATTTCCTAGTCAAAGACTCACAATCATCAACATACATGATGTTTGTAGTTTATAAGACGGATACTACCAGAGCTAAATGCAATATACTGTTGATGTAAAAAACTGTCAGAATGCTTTAGAACATTACATATTACATGTTATTTTTGTTAATATAGAATAACATTAATATACTTAAAACCACCTCAATAGACAAAACAACAAATTAGGCTAAGACAAGTTAACTAATAATATAAAGGTTGACAGAAAACTACCTAAATGTACAAAGCAACAGATTGGGTTGTATTAGATAATGGAAGTTATTTTCTGTCATATAACATGCAAGTTACACTTACTAGTTATGATTCCTAGCACAAAATCACATGCTCTAGAGAATTACTTGGATATATAAGTTTTCAACATGATATAAAAACATGGAAAAAGCATGTACCTTACTTCATCAGTAACTATCTCCTACATTTCTACCAAGTCCTAGATGGCTGAGTTATCCTATAACGCATCCATGAACATTTCCATCACTTGTTTAACTATATCTTTAGTTATCTTTAAATAACTAGTCTTTCTCCTTTCAAAGACAATGGGTGTGGTGCATCTAAGACATCTAAGGATAACAATGAACTTAAAATACTTAATATTAATCTTTGCCATCTAAACGCAATGCAAACTAAAACCACTTAATGAAAAATGCTTATCCGTGAATCAAGAGACAATTATGAAACAAACGTACTGAATGAAATCCTGTTTAGCAGATGTCTAGTTTTGTAGTTAAAATAATAACAATGAATACTGTGTGTGCTTGTATACAACCATTGGACTGCATATTCTAATGTGAACACTGTAAAAGGAAACAGTAGAAATTCCACATATAGGAGGGGTTCAATATATCATTTCATACTAACATTACAGACTTCAATTTGCATCAATGAGTTCATCTGACTGCATCCTCGTTAAAAGAAGTGACCACACTTGGAAACAGATAACCGAGATAGTTCAGATTTTACAGCACCATAGCAGGGTTAAAAATATGTATAATTTTCCGGGCTTGCTTCAAAGTATAAAGTTTCAACATCTGAGAACAGTCCTAAAACCTTTTATACCCAAACCCTATTTCAGAAATGGCCATAATTTTTAATTGAGAATCCAATCAACATCCAGGAACTAAAACTAGCGTAAAATTACAATTGAAAGCTATGAGAGAGAGATGTGTATAGAGATAGATACCTGGGATAAGAAATGCAATGGCAGCCGTTAAGAGTGATACAGAGTAGGGGTGGCATTTTGATTTGGTTTTTTTCGGGTCATTATTATTATTTTTTTTTAATATGTCAGTTTAAAAATTTTAGTTCAATTCGGTTTAAAAGAGTTCCCTTCAGATTCGGATTTGGTTCAAATCGGATTTCAGTTCAGTTTAAGAACATAAACATTTTCTAATTCTCTTTAACACATAATTATTTATTTATTTTAACTAATAATTTAAATTTCATGTTTGGTAAAGAATATGATACTTACCTATTGAATTAGTGGTGATTTTTTTTTTTGTACCATGTAACTTTTGAAAATAATTTTGACATTATTAATACTATATAGAAATTTATCTTTTTATGTTCAAAGTTTGAAAATATGAAAAGTAAAATATATAATTATTATGATTTTAGCATTGTTCTAATGAAAAACTTAAATATATGCATTCATTTATAATAATTTGTATTACAAATGGTATAAACAAATTTTATAAATACTATAAATATTATTATCTCAAAACAAATTGATTTACGATAAAAAAAAACATAATTGAATAAAAATTTAACATAAAAAATATTTAAAAATGATTGAATTAACTTACATTTGTGGAGATTAAACAAATAAAATTTTATTGGGTGACTCACATTCAAATATAATGTGATTATTGATGGATCTTAGCGCCCATCCTGGGATTGCTGAAAGTCAAGCATGTTTAACCACAGAGTTCTTTGGCTATCTAGTTGTCATATCCTACGTAAAATCAATTGGTAATAACCATTTAACCAATTCTCTCTATGATAAGCCATAGTGTCACGTCTCGAATCGAGTAGGGGCTGAACTCGACCAACTTGGCTGACGCAACAATTATAAATTAATTTTAACCTACATTTAAGTAGGATACATCATCTCTGGATCTATCAATTTAAAACAAAGAATAAATAATAGAACTAAAAAAAAAAAAAAAAAAATTGAACAAATTAGTTAAAAACTTATTGAAGCACAAAGCTTGCCATGCTTTTCTCAAAAAAAAAAAAAAAAAAAAAAAAAAAAAAAACAAAACAAAAAAAACAAAAAAAAAACAAAAAACAAAAAACAAAAAAACAAAAAACAAAAAACAAAAACAACAAAAAAAAAAAAAAAAAAAAAAAAAGCTTGCCATGAACTTACCAAAATGATTCATAAAGCTACAATGACTGGCTAGATCTCTTTTAGGAATTGAATTGTTATTTTATTGCATGATGCTAGTGTGAAATGTAATTCCTAATTGAAGCTCCAAGCCAATTTGTATTTCGCTTCTTAAGGAACCGAAAGGATTAAGATTGGAACTAGTTGAAGACAAGGTGTTCGATGAAATGTTTCTTAAAAGCATAGTTAGTTAAAGGTGTTTCTATACCAAGAAAAGACTTAGTAAACCGAGAGGTGAACAGCATTGGTAAAGCCTTGCTTGAACCACACATATTGCAATGTATCAACCTTTCCTTAAGACACTAGAAGCATCATGTGATAGATGAACAATTCTATTCCTAGCTTTTCTCCATTTTAATTCATCTAGTAACCCCAAATACTGCACACTACACTAGTACAAAAAATCACATCAGCTACACCTCTAAAAGTGTTTTCGCTACACCTATACAGGTGTAGCGAAATCCAGTGTCGCTGAAAGTGTTAGCTTTCCGCTACACCCGTAGCGGGTATAGCGGAAAGCCAAAGATATTAATTTTTTTTTCTTTAAATATTGACTTTCCGCTACACCCTCTTCGTGGAGGGTGTATCGGAAAGTCATTTTTTAATAAAAAATCAAGCCTTTCCGCTACACCCTCTTCGTTAAGGGTGTAGCAGAAAGTATTACTTAAGCTTACTTAAGGGTGTAGCAGAAAGTATTACTTAAAAAAAAAAATCAAAATTCCGCAACACCCTAGAGAGGGTGTCACGGAATTTTAAAAAAATAATTAAATATATTCTGCAAAAATTTGTGTGTTTTTTTATTTTTCTATTTAATTTTTTAAAACCAAAAAATAATATCATGTACAGAAATTTCTAAAAACCAACAAACCAACACAATAATTTACAAACTAATACAACAAACCAACACAATAATTTTCAAACTAATACAACAAACCAACAAACCAACACAATAATTTACAAACTAATACAACAATTAACAATCAACAGAATATATGTATAATTATCAACACAATATACTTATAACAATCAACACAATATACTTAGGCTCTTGAACTATCTCTAAATTTATGTACCTCTATCCCGAAATATTTCTTTCAGCTTTCGCCCTAGTTCCAAATATTCCAACTACTCCATTTAAGGCTCATGTGTTTCTTCCTGCTCACACTCCTTCTCTTCATAGCCCCCTTCCTCCTCTTCACCTAATAGTGAACTGCGGTGACAAACACTTTGAATTTTGTATGTGTCCAATTACAATCAAAACAGTTTCCCCAGCACAAAACTTGACACAACAATTTCTTCCACTAACTATATCACTGCAGAAAAATGGAGAATTTGAGTTCAAAAATGGATATACCTCAACAGCTCAGCGATAACTTGTTGCCTCAGCTATAACTTGAATCCTTAGACTATACAAGGTTGTTACCAATAGTTCTTCATTGTCCCCCAACAATACAATGTAGCTACAGTTAGTTCTCCATGGTTCCTCAGTATTCAGTAATTTTCTTTCCCTATTTAGCACCAACCCTGAACTATCTTTCTTGAGTTGTAAAGAAAAAGTAGCTGGTATCTGTTATTCATTAAACAGAACAATTTAGTTTTGATACATTGAAGTAAACATTGACAAACAGAGGACAGGATTAAGATATACATACAGAAGCAGGATAAGATATCTTTACTTCATACCAAGTGTGAGATTTCAGTCCCTGCAAGTGTGAGATTTCAAGGCATCTAGCAATCCAACCAAGCTTAAGCTAGTAGGAATAGTTTACAGAATACAGATGAATAAAAGAGTTTCTGTGAACCATGGCTGCAAACCCCAGCTTGAGTGTGAAAATATTGAGAAGCAAGTCCAGGTTGCCCTGCCAAGATACAGGTAAATCATCTCAATACCAGTTTTTGCTCAACAGTTTCAGAACATAAATCAGTTGACCTTAAGCAGGATAAGAGAACATGCTTTCGATGCGAACAAAGCATTTTCAGACAATCACTCATCTACAATTCAAAACTTGACCTGGAAAGCTAAAACAAACTACATTCAGTGCGAAGATAAAACAATCCTACAAGGTATAATATATGGGTGTTCACTGTTCTAGATACTAGAGTTGATGCGAAATGACAATCAGTTTATAAATGGGTGTTCACTGTTCCAGCTATCTGCCTTAGCTACTAATCAACACTAACATGTTTCCATTTTTTTCTTTTCCACATTACTGAACAAGCCCTAAGACCTAGTTTATAATCAACACTAATCAATCTTAACTACTAAAATCACAATAAGATAGTCAATAAGATACTAATATCACAATAACAATAATATTTGAAATCAATTAACAAAAAAACTTGAAATAAATTAATATAAAATAATAAAAAAATAAACTTACCGTTGTTTTGGGAATCGGCGGCTACGGAGTGGTCGGTGGCGATGGCGAGTGAGGCATCTCCGACGAAGGAAAGGCGCCGGCGAGTGTGGCTGAGGCTGAGGCGATGGCTGTCGGCTGTCTTCGTCGGCGAAGGAAGAGCGGCGGCGGGAAGGGCTGTCGTGGTCTGTCTGTTCTGGTCTCGAAAATGAGGAAGGTCGTCGTCGTCTGTTGGCGAGAGGAAGGTCGGTAGTCGTCGTCTGCAGATGAAGGGCGGCGGAACGGCTGTCGTCAACGGCGAAGAAGCCGGCGAAATGGCTGTCGGACTGTAGATTTCCGGGAAGAAATAGCAGATGGCGGAAGAAAGTCTAGGGCGAAATGAATGGAGAAAAATGCTAAGTCTGGCTGTCTGGGGCGAGTAGGGTATTAATTTTGGGTTTATTTTTCGCTACACCCATTTTCTAAGAGGTGCCGCGAAAATTCTTTAATAAAATAATAATAAATTCTTCGCAACACCCTCTTCAGGCTGGTGATGCGGAAAGATTTTCTTTTTCTTTTTTTTTTTTTATTTCGAAAATACTTTCCACTACACCTTTATTTTAAAGGTGTAGTGAATTTTTATTTGTTTCAACTTTCCACTACACCATCATTAAGGGGTGTAGTGTAAAGTTATAGTTATATATTCATTTTTGTAGTAGTGCTAAACCATTGAGCTAAGCCGTGATTTGAATTCATCTACTTGTTTGTACTCTTGGACTCTTTCAAACCTTTACATAACCAAGCTTCCGTGAACCATGTATGTGATAAGCATGAACTCTATTCTCTATCTCAATACTAATTAGCACTTTCAATTTGTCATTTTTGAGATTGACACTCGGAAATTTCATATCCTCATTTTACACTTTCCACATCCCACTTAAACAAAACAACATCACATATATGTAATTCTATTATGTTATTACTTTATTTTTTGCAAATTATCTATTATAGTTTTGCTATAAATACTACATTTATATATGCTATAAAGTATGATATATATATATATATATATATATATATATATATATATATATATATATATATATATATATATATATATATATATATATATATATATATATGTCTTAAAATATTGATTATATATACAATTTTGTTATGTTATTACTTTATTTTCTACAAATTGTGTATTATAGTTTTGCTATAAAGTATTACATTTATGCTATAAAGTATTATATACAACCCCTAATGCTTAAAGTATTGACGATATCTGCAATTCTGTTATTTTATTAATTTATATCTTGCAAATTGTCTATTATATTTTTGCTATAAAATACTACATTTATGATATAAATTAAAGTATTATATATAAAGTTTACAGTATTGATTATATTTTAAATTTTATTATGACATATTTTTATCAGAATCGACTTGTTTAACGAATTAAAATCTGTGAAACGGTCTTACAAGAGATCAACCTCAATATGTAAAATTAATTGACTCAATAAAGAAAAAGTAATTAGTAGTGGTACGACTCACTTTAGTATGAAATTCAATCTATCAAAGATGTTTTATGATGATATTAGTAAGTTTATTTGCTTCATATATGTTGGAGGTTGATAGTCCTGAGCACCATGGTGTGCAGCTCAACAGCAAATCGGCTACTCCACAACTCAACACTCATTTAGCTGCTAGTTTGTTAGAAGTAGTACAGCTCACCCTGATATCATGTATATATACTATCTCTCTAATTGTTCCGTATACTCATTCAATCATCTTCAATTTGTCATTTAAAAAAAGAAACAAAATAATGTGAATAAAATTTGAGGATTGAGTTTACAATTATATTTGATATGAAACCCAACAAAATCTTATATCGCCAACTGGGTTTATAAAAACCCTAGCTACAAATTAAACCCTAACCCTAGACCCTAAATATAAACGTAACAAACCCTTGAATTGATCGATGAAACATTCTATTCAATTGTGTACTTTTCAAAAATCAGATTCAATATATAAATATAGACAATGATATTTCTTGATATCTAGATGATGAATTGATGATCGATCATCATTATGTTTATTGAATATAAGCAACTACCACTGTTATATCATCGTACTTGCCGCCGATGGCATCCTCGTCGATTCCGGCGATCCTGGTTGCCACCGAGAACGGAGAATTGATGTTTTCGTTCTCGGAATTGTTAAGCGCGTACTGTGCAATCTTCCTCGCCAACTTCATCGGCTTCTTGTCATTACGACATTCTGCGGAAACCAAATCTTCTAGTTCGTGTTCATGAACGTTGTCGAACAATCCATCCGTTGCCATTACGATGATATCTCCAGGTTTCACCTTCACCTCGAATTTCTCGGCCACGGACGAGTCGTCGCTCGTTTTCCCTAGCTGAACCGGACAGTTGAACCGTGACTGTTGAGGCGGGGAGTGGAAGACGATTTTCCCGCCGCGTAGGACTGCGAAGCCGCTGTCACCAACGTTGACGGCGATCACGCAGTGGTCAACTAACGTCAAGATACACGCCGTGGAAGAGCCTTCTGCGTCCGTGTCCACGTAGGCTTCGTTGAGGGCATTCATGGGGTCCACGCTGCCGACCGTGTTTCTCTGATGACGAACGGATAAGACGGCGTTATACATCAACTCTCTGGCGTACTCTCCGGCGTCGATGCCCTGCTTTGCCCAGCCGCCGACGCCGTCCGCTACGCCGATCGTCTGCGCCTCCGAACAGATAAAGTGCGCGTCTTCTCCGAGAGGCTTCGCCGGATTCTGTTTGGGTATGTAGAACGCACCGGCGACCATTCTGGTTGTGCTCCGCCGTGCCAAATCACCGTCCGCTAGGGTTTGGAGATAAACCCTAGTACTGGCATTTGATGGATAGATCAAACGCGCCATGATTGGAATTTGGAAACTTGAAATCCAAGAAACTAGAATAGGAAACAATAGTACTGCGTCAGAATTGAAGTCAGCTAGAGTATGGGATTCCGGCTTTTAAATATCACCGCCGACTTAGTCCTAATAGAATTGGGATTAACGTATACTATTTAAACAATCACTAATTAAATGCATATCAGATGTACTAATTTATATTATATAATAACTAACTATATTTTAACGCAATAATCTTTTAATTGTTGTTGGGCTCACTTCTATATTAAATATGATAGACCTATTTTACAAGTAAGCTTTTAATTTAATTGTACTTAATATCTACTTAAGTAATTATGGTTCACACTGTGTTATGTGGACCATAACAAAAAGTACATTTTTAATATACTAAATGTACATTATTTTTGTACTGTATGTACATTATATAATATAATATACACTCAGTATAAAAATAATGTACATTCTTTGAATAAAATGTACATTATATAATATAATATACACTCAGTATAAAAATAATGTACATTCTTTGAATAAAATGTACATTATTTTTGTGATGAATGTACATTATTTTTGTACTGAATATACATTATTTTATAATATACAAAATATGGCCACACAACTTGTATGGACCATGGTCCAAACAATAATGATTGAGTACTGCAATACTTGGCCTTCTTTAAAAATGGATCATATTATCCACAAGGTTAAAAGTTCGACTATCGATAGAAGCTAAGGTCGCAAGAAAGAGGCACACCGTCGAGTAGTGACTGCAGAAATGGGTAATACTATCCTATGATCATATTTGCAATTCATTTACTATTTTTTATATTTATATATTTTCAATTCACTTTCAAATGGCATGTAGTGACCTATCCAATGTAGGAGGTCATGAGATCGAGCTTCAGTGGATGCGTTGTTGACTCTTTGTGCTTCAATAGGTTGAGAAAGTATATTTGAACATATACTACAATGTAATAGAGTCGGTAACTTAAAAAAAATAACATAATAATAATAATAATAATAACAATAATTTCTAATTACAAGAGCAATTCATAAACTGGAATGCAAGATCATGGGACAATGTTCGTCCCTATTTATAGGAGAAACATATGTCTATTAGCTTAGTCCTATATATCCCTACTCCAACTAGAACTCTACATTATATTAACCTAGGACATAACATAAGACCTATTATATTCCCACACAAACAATATCAAGCTCAGGACATAAATAATGTATAAATGTATCTTTTATTTATAATTATTACAGTTGTACCATATGACAAATTATTGTGTGGACCGACCATAACAAAAAGTACATTTTTAATATATTAAATGTACATTATTTTTATACTGTATATACATTATACAATATAATGTACACTCAGTACAAAAATAATGTACATTCTCTGAATACAATGTACATTATTTTTGTACTGAATATACATTATTTTTGTATTGAATATACATTATTTTACAGTATACAAAATATGGTCCATACAACTTGTGTGGACCATCAATAATGATTGTAAATGGCTTGGGCCACCACTCTTTATTGGGCCCTTGAGTATACATATAGCAATCATTATTGTATGGACCATGGTCCACACAAGTTGTGTGAACCATATTTTGTCTACTGTAAAATAATGTACATTTAGTACAAAAATAATGTACATTCAGTACAAAAATAATGTACATTATATTCAGGGGATGTACATTATTTTTATTATGAGTGTACATTATATTTTATAATGTACATTCAGTACAAAAATAATGTACATTTAGTATATTAAAAATGTTCATTTTATTATGGTCCACATAACATTATGTGGACCATGGTCCATACAATAATTTGCCATACATATAGTAGTTGGGCATTTCTTAGTATGCCCCAAATCTCGGCAATTTATATCATGCACCACGGTGCGCGTTGCATTATGCACCCAGATGCAAAACGACGTCGTTTTAATTTTTTTTTTTTTGAAATTTCGTTACCCAGTGTTTGCCAGTTAATTTTCTTTGAAAAAAAAAATCTCATGTTAAAAAATGTACATAATGTTATACTAGAATACACATAATTGTATACATGAATGTACATAATTATATAACAAAATACACATACTCTTTTTTAAAAGATAATATACATAATCTAACATAATACATAATAAACATAAGCTTTTAACATAATACACATCAACTCTTAACATAATACACAAAAATTTCCTGATTCGGATGTACATAATTGTATAAAAAAAGTACATAATTGTATAAAATATATACATAATAAAAAATATACATAATTGTATAAACAAATATACATAATCATGTCAACTTCTTACCACGCCTCCCAAAATGATGTCGTTTTGGGAGGCACAGGACGCACAATACACTGTGCTCCGTGGTGCAGGGTATAACGATTGCCAAATCTCCCAATGCAAGAAGCTAAGTTATGATTAATGCTAAATACATATATCAAAAATATAATAATTTTAGTCAAAAAATATAATTTATATGG